CTGTGTTGCCGTGCAGATCCAGGGTGGCTGGTTTAAAGGTGCCAAGGCTCTGCAGAGTCTTACACTGGAGGGAAACCTGCTCACCAGCTTAGATTCTCGTTCCTTCCCTCTAAATGACCTCAGAGAACTGAGGAATCTGGATCTGTCAGATAATCTGATTGAACATGTGGACAGAAACAGGTAAGTAGTTAATATTACTATGTTTATTTTTTTCTTTCTTTAAAAGAAATAAAGGACCTTCACCAAACCTAATGTAATATATATATATAACCCTCTGTGTCTTAGTTTCCGTGGCTTGGTGAGCCTGACGACTCTGGATCTTTCCAGAAACCGCCTGAGTTCTGCTCCTGCGGATGCTTTTGCTTACCTCACCTGGCTGACAAATCTCAACCTGGACCTCAACTCATGGAACTGCTCCTGTCAGCTGCTGGAGCTCGCCGACTTCCTGTCCACCTTCATCCAACAACCTGACAAGGTACAGGAACTCCCCCCACTGAACCTACGTCCACTCACCAGAACAACCTGAACTGACTTAAATCTTTTCTCTTTCTATTTGTGCTGATCTCAGATCCTCTACAATGGCCGTAGGATGGTTTGTGCGAGCGCCGACAACCCAGCTGTAACCACAGTGCTGGAGCTGACCGATGCCAATTGTGTCCCGTCCAATCAGAACATCACCGTGCATATAGAGCCAAGAGCCAGCGTAACGCCTCAGTTGTATGCTCGAGATCTAGCCATCACTGCAGTCATCTGCTTTATTGGTGAGAATGATAAACAACACAGGATAAAAGAACAATGATTTAACTCTTAGACATTAATGAAAGAATAAGAAAAGAGAATTAGAGTATTAGATGCAGAATCACAAGCACAGAACACCCAGATGAAGCAACACAGTTCTAAATGATCAACATTTGACAATAAAAACAGGAGAAAAATACACTGCAGAACCTTTAATACCCAATCATACTCATTCTCCTGTGCTTCAGGTGGCGTTGGCTTGACTCTGCTGATAGTTCTGATTTACTATCAAGTGTCTCGAAAGAAAGAAATGAAAGAAAGTAAAAGACTGAAAGAGCAAGAAGGAGGAAGCAGCAGCACAGCTAACCACCGTGTTAATCACCTCGATGTTAGAGAGAGGAGGAGGGATGTTTTCTTGCAAGAAAACAGCAGGCAGCAGTGGAACAAGGACGCCATGACTTTGGACACATGGGCAAATGAACCCAGAGACCAGTTTAGATTTAGAACTGATGAGAACGGTGGCGGTTTCAGCTGTGCTGACTGCAGCAGTGATGCACCAAAGCTGAACCCAATGAGAAGAGAAAACAGGATGAATGGAGGGATTGAGGCAGAGGTGGACAGAGAAAGGAGAAAAATAAGAAGGATACCTGATGAGGAGGGGAAAAGGACAGAAGTTCAGCATAAAAACCTGAACAGGGACAAGTTTGTTTTTCAAGAAAATACAAATTCATCTTCTTATCCACAGAGTGAAGCTTTTAATCAGAGAGCAGAGATCCTGCCAGCCCGCAAGAACGGCAGAAATGTGAACAATCACAGGACACACGCAGATGTAAAGATGAAAGGATATGAGAGTTTACGCTGTGAAAGTTGTCACAGGACATACAGAGCAGAGCAGGACATGAGACAACGGAAGATTGGGACCAATCCAGGAGACTTTGCTCTGCCTAATGGCTTCTCTTCTCAGTACAGGCTGAATGAAAGCGGGAGGAATGCTCATAACCACTCTGACATGATGAAGAACACAGAGTTGAGAAAAGTAATCAGAAATGTGTCGTTTGATCTGCAGAGTTCAAGAACCCTGGAGGAAGGAAACAGTCAAATTGAGGACAAGAGAGAGGAGGACGTAATAAGAGACAAAAGAAAGAGAAGAGAAAAGAGGCAGAAAGTTCAGTCCAGCCGGTTGGTGAAGGTCAAACTAAACTTGAATCCTCTAAGAAAAAGCAAAGTCCATCCAAGGAAGAAAAATGAGCAGGGTCCTTTGGAGAAAAACAGCTCCAAGAAAAGCAAAGAAAAAAGAAAGGATGGAAAAGAACGTGAGGAGAAGGAAGAAAAAGGAAAGTCTAGCAAGAAAAAAATTAGAAAATCCTCCAAGATTGAGACATCGGCTGAGGATGGAATCAAGGAAGAAGAGGTCGGAGGAGAGGAAGGACAGAAAAGCCAAACACCCTCTGAAAAAACAACTTCCAAAAGTGATAACAGTGACCAGAAAAGTACAGAAGAGAGTAGATACCCAGAGAACAACCAGTCTGTGCAAAGCAGCAGTGCTGCTAACCAATCAGGATCCACTATTGTTAGTGGACATGGGCAAAGTCTGCTGGGTAATAAGTATCAAGGAACTGGCCTGACTCTGGGTAGTGCTCAGCATTCGTCTACCAACCTCTCACTGCTTGGCTCAGCTGGCTCACAGCTAAGTGGCAGCAGCCTCTCTCTTCAAGGGGGGAACTTCCTGCTCAGCACCTCGGCCTCAGGATCAAATTTGCTGTTCCCCAGAGGTCCAGCTCCTAGTATAGCATTCAGTGGGCCTAACGTGGCTCCAAGCAGTGCTCCAGACATGCTTATCAGACAAGCTGCAGGAGGAGTTCTGTCTGCTGCTAACCCTTTCCATGCAAGTGCAACACCTCAGACCGGAGGAGCTCCCTTGAACTTAGCAGCAAACCCAGGAGTTAATCCTGCAGTTGTCCAGTCCCTCTCTCAGAGCCAAATGCTTCCTGACAGTGCTCCTCTTGTAGCCAGGCCAAAACCTGAACTAGCACAGGGACAAGTCATTCAGAATGCAGGACTGCATGAGCTATCTGTTGAACCTCAAACATCCATGACCAAAGAGAACCTCCCTGCCTCGCAGGATTGTATGTCTGAGGATGCCCCCAAAAGACTCGAACCAGCGAGCACAGTGGAGAATATATCAATTAGTAACAGTCAGGCAGAGACTGGGAATGTACCTGTTGGTACAATAGTTGATATATCAGTAGGGGGTGTGGCTCAAACTGAGGTGCCTGCAGTGGAAAGGTCTGGAGCCAGCATGCAGGAGGCAGGCGTATCAGGTGTGCCCGGTATATCCACAGAGAGTGAACCCTCCACAGCAGCTGCTCTGCTGCAGCAAGAGTACCTGCCTGAGGAAGGAGGCTCCCCCTCCCTCAGGAGGAAGCTGAGACTGGTGCTTCCTGAGAAGACATCCAGCCGTCCTCTCACTGCTCTGGAGAGGAAAATACGTTAGAAGCTAACTCAGTATTTAAACGACTTTTTATCTGAGTAAAAGGAGATAATGTTACTACTGAATCACTTTGAGATTTAGAGGATTTCATATTGTTTATTTTTTATCAATTAGTATTTTTGCATTTTAAAATCATTCATGGCCTTTGAAGCAGCATTTGAATAAAATTACATCACATGAAAACCATTTAGTGGCTTTGCTGCAGCTTTCTGTCGTTCCTCACGATCTTCATCTACAGATGGTATTTCCTGGTGTGTTGTGACAGTATAGTTAAAAATGACGACATTTATTCGTGGACATGAAGCACAGTTTCATGTAAGGCGGAGCTTTTGCTTAGTTCAGCTGCTAACTTACAGCCATTTACACATTTGAGGTTATAATTGTTCGAGTAGTACAGTAAGTTCTACAGTAAACACAGTAGTGAAATAAAGACAACATCTTTCAGTGATCTGAGGACTAAAACACTGTAACTTTGACCTCTATGCAGATTGCAGCAGGTTTCTGGGGTTTTGGTGTGCATGTAGGATTGGGTTTCAGTTTTGGCGCTAGGATGGCTGTTTGCAGAGGATTAGGTTTCCTGGTCACACTGCAGAGCTCTACATGCTGCCTACACAGGGGTCCATTTACTGTCTGAGCTTTCTTCCTCCCGTGAGTCACTGTGATATATTATACTGTCGAACGTCACTGTCTTGTTAATGTTGTTCTTGGATATGATCACAGAGAAGGTGTCTGTGGTCCTGATTCTTAGATGGCATTGCATTTCTAAGAATATTAACTTTATTTGTATATCTGTTTTTAAAACACACAGTTAAAAAAAAAAGAGCTTCACAGATTGGATAGAAGCACGTGTTAATAATAAGTGTATATTTAAACAAACAAATACTTACATTAACTGCTGCATGCACACTTCAACACACACATAAGAAGAATGAGAGCCAAAAATTAAAGATGAGGGTAAAGTTAACTTATAAAAACACTTTTTTTAATACAAACCAAACATTGAGCTGACCTGATAAGGCAGAGGAGGGCTGCTCCAAAGTTTTGGAGCTCCAACTTTAAAATTGTGGTCACAAAAAATTCATTTCACTTCAGTTTTATTTATATAGTACCAAAGAGAAAAATGGCAACAATCAAACAACCCCCTCTGAGCAAGCACTTGGTGATAGCAGGGAGAAAAAAACTCCTTTTTAAAAGGAAGAAATCAGACTCAGGGAGGGGCAGCCATCTGCTGTGACCAGCTTTGGGTGAGGAAAAGAAGACAGGGCAAAAGACATACTGTGGAATAATATCTAATGATTAAATGCAGAGTGGTGAATAGACACACAATGAATGAAAACAAAGTGAGTGAAGAAAGCCTAGACCTAGTGCAGTTTAAGTAAGGGAAGATTCAGGGTTACCTAATACAGTATAAGCTTCATCAAAAAGGAAAATGTGATCTTAGAAGTAGATCCAAACTAGGAGCTGGTTCCACACAGCGCTGCTTCCCATTATACTTTTAAAAACCCAGAGCAGGAACCACAAGTAAGCCTGTAGTCTGTTAGCAAAGTGGGGTGATATGGTCTTTAAGATAAGATGGGGCCTGGTTATTAGATTAACACGGAGCCAATGAAGAGAAGTTATCATGGGACAACTATCTTTCTAGTCCCTGTCAGTACACTTGTTGTAGCACTTTGGATCAATTGAAAGCTTTTCTGGGAGTTTATAGGACACCCTGATAATAATGAACTAGAGTAGTCCAGCTTAGAAGTAATAAATACAATAAGTAGCATTTTAGCATCTGTTGTTTGTAATGTGTTTGTAATTTTAGAGATACTGCAAAATGCAAGAAAGCAATCCTACATATTTGCTTAATTCAAAGGTATTGAAAGACAAAAACCTCAAAGATTTCTCACAGTGTTACTGGAGGCCAAGTAATGCCACCCAGAGTAAGTATTTGGTTTCTAAGATTTTTAGGGCTGAGTACAAATACCTCAGTTTGATCTGAATTTAGGAGCAGCTTGTTAATTTGTAACACACCTAGATGGAGAAAGATTTTTACAAAGGTAAGGACTTTTCAGCAAGCAAACTTTATAAACAGGCCATTTAAAGCCTATTTTAATGTCCTAATTCTTTGTAGAGCTTTCAAAACTGATATTGGATTGATATATGATGTGCTGCTGAATTATATATATTGCATAAAAACATACTACAAAGTTTGGTATGGTTTTGTACAGGCTAAACTGGTTAGCTGGCAGTAGCAGTGTAGTTTGCAGTGATGCACTATGGTGGGCTGATGCATAGCATGCTGTGGTGTTTAATTTAATCATTACATCAAGAGTAAAAAATGTATATTTGAGGTCATGATGCTGATTAGATCCACTCACAGACTCCCTTTCATACTAGTTTCCTTAGTGTCTAGGGGATAGAAATCAGCCATAGAGCTTGTGAAACATCTGCTTATATGTTGTTGAATTCAGTGGGGTTGATCCTCAAAACACAGTGAATATCAGAGTAGCAGCACAGGCCAGCTGATTGCAGCCTTACACAAAGGAAAATTGACTGAAAGTCACAAAACAACTCATGAAACGTCTTTCTATGCATTTCTTCTCTCCCAGCTGCACCACAACAGCTGATTTCAGGGTTCCCCCTCAGGGATACACCCTGGACAGGTTGGCAGGATGCTGCAGTATATAACTATATAACGTAACATGAAGCTATGCACCAATAGATTTTTTTTTCTTCAAAAAATCATCTCTTTTCTTACATTGGTCTGTTTCCCATTACATCCCATGTAACTCTTTTACTTTTCAAAAGTAGAGTAACACGCTGCAGCCCCCCCCCAAAAAAATCCTACCATTCAACATATTTCTAGTTGTATGCACACCATTTTATTCACTCCATTGCTTCACAGCTAAATCTGGTGCTTTTCCAACAAAATCAGCTTATAAGACGTGACGATGATGGATTTAGGGGTAGTGTAATAACACCAGGAAATGTGTGACATATAAGAAGTGGTTGCAGTCCTTGCCTGTGGTTGTTAGGGGGCAGTGTGTACCTGCACACACCAACGGAGGCATCCTTCTTTTTCAGCAGCTGCACTTTTGATTTATGACTCAGATCTGGCACTTTGGAGACATAATTATAACAGAGGGAAAAATACCTAATTTGCTTGATAGAGTTAGGGGCCTGAGTGTTGAATTTGAACTCATTATTTTACCAAAAAGACAAAGGCTGACAGGAGAGAATGAAACCATTTAACATTTGATATGATCTTCTAAAATATCAAAATGTTAAATGTACACAGGTTTATATTCTGTGGAGGGGGAGGTTTCCCTCAGTATAAAGGTTTAACACTTATAATAGACCAAAGATGGTTTTGTGGGCAAAAACTATTCTTTTTCAAGGTACCAAACCAGATCTGGACTGCACTCCAGATACCTTTCTCTTCACCACTTTCTCTCTTTAGAAACCATGATGGCTTCGCCGTAGAGTACAGAATAAGTCCAGAACAAATCAAAAACCCAGAACACTACCACAGTAAAGCGCTATACAAATACAGGCCATTTACCATTTACAGTAAGTGCAATGATCTAGCAACAACCGAGGACCTAGTAGCAGGAGAGTAATCAAATTGCACACAGGTAGATAATTACTTAACTGTTTCCAGGTGCATCAACAAGGAAGGTAGGAGAGCCAGTAAGACCTTGCCGCTGAAACAAACAAGCAGAGTTACAACAAACACACATGCACACCACAGAGGAGAGGGAACGTTCGAGCATAAGGTGGAGAAACGGTAGAAAACGATGGTAAACACAGGAGGACAAGGAGACCATGACGTACCCCCTACCCCACCCCTCAACAATAAGAGGCTCCTGGTGACCTAACCTGGCTTGTTGGAATGCCTACAATGAAAATCTCTAACCAAGGAGGCTGTGGAACCAAAGTCCTCTCCTCTGGCAGATAACCTTTCCAATCAACTATCCAGTCTTTAAGTGATGACATGACAAATCCTGCTTCCGGGCCCAAACTACCCTGCGTTTAATAAGGCCTTTGTGTTTTTAATATGTTTTAATGCGTTGTATCTTGTTCTATTTAATCTCAACAGTGATCACTGTGATCACTGTCAGCCTCTCTCGGTTTTTATTACCTCTATTCATTTTAAAGCTCAGTTTTTAAAACCTTATGATGTAACTACAGCCCAGCCCATGCAGCAGTATATTAATGACTAACCTCGTATTGTGGATGGATTATCTCAGTTGTTCTCCTGACTCAAGTTCAGTCCGTTTACAGCATCCTGTCATGCGATTGCATTTGTTCGTAACCATCGGGAACCCTCACGTTAACTTTTATCAGGTGGGAAAAAGTTAGCGTTCATCCTCCAGCTTCACTGTTTTAATTACGCTAACATAGCTGTGTCACTAGCGATCACGTACTAGCTAGCCTAACTTCAGTAACCCTACAAATGTCACTGCTGTTTACTTTACTGTCTTCATTTATGTTGAAAGTGATAGCAGAGCTATACGTCTTAATTTGTTTCGAAAATCCCTCAGTCAGAACATGGTATATTATATTTAGATGGAAACTAGCGAGCTAACTCCCTGCTAATTTCTAACTCCATTAAATTTCATTGATGCCTGGATGTTAAACTTGATTGTTACACCTGGTCAGTGTTGCCAACTCCTCAGT